TGCAGGGACGAGCGCGCCAAGATCAAGGACCCCGAGGCGACCAAGCCGGACGACTGGGACGAGGACGCTCCCCGCGAGATCCCCGACGAGGACGCCGCCAAGCCCGAGGGGTGGCTGGACGATGAGCCAGAGGAGGTGAGCGGGTGGTGGATGACTGGAGAGTGGAGTCTGAGAGGTGGCTTGTTTATGAGGGTGGGTCTGAGGTGCCGTGTGACAAGCCGGACGTCTGGGACGAGCACGCGCTCCGCGCGAAATTCCCGACGAGGACGCCTCCAAGCCCGAGGGGTGGCTGGACGATGAGCCTGAGGAGGTGAGCGGGAGAAGGGTTGCTTTTTACAGGTGAATTTGTGGCGGGATGTTGGGTCGTAAGAGTTGTCTGTCAGGCCCTAGGGCCGGCTGGACGGTTAGCCCGCGGAGGCCGATAAGTCGTAAGAGGCAATTGGTCGTGTGTAATTCAACCAAATTGTGAAGGTCAAGGGAAGTTTGTACGTGCGATGAGCCGAGGAAGCTGGTGGCTGATCGATTCTTAGGAACGGATTAAAAGTGTCAAAAGAGAATTGGACTTGTAACAATGCGAAGGGTGGGCTGGGTGGCCTAGTCCAAGGACGAGGTGACACTGCCCAATCCCATCGTTCCCTCCCCCCCCTCCCCCCCCCCCCCCCAACCCCACACTGTCCTCCTTTTCCCCTGGATTCCTGGAACAGGCTACGATACCCGATTTCTATCGCCTCCTTCCAACCTCCCACAGAATCCTATTGTAGAGAATGAGGAGGGTAACGACGCCCATTACCACCGCCTGCACTAACCAGATCCTATGCAATCATTTCTCCTTCCTCGCTTCAATAGGTTGATGATCCCGAGGCGAAGAAGCCCGAGGACTGGGACGAGGAGGAGGACGGCGAGTGGGAGCCGCCCAAAACCCCGAACCCCAAGTGCGAGGAGGCACCCGGGTGCGGCGAGTGGAAGCGGCCAATGAAGCGCAACCCCGCGTACAAGGGCAAGTGGACGGCTCCGCTCATCGACAACCCCGCGTACAAGGGCGTGTGGAAGGCTCGGGACATCCCGAATCCGGACTACTTCCACCTGGACCGGCCGGACCTCGAGAGCGTCGCTGCCGTGGGAATTGAAATCTGGACCATGTCGGTGCGTGCCAGGGCGAGGGGGTTGGGGGGAGTGAGGGGGGTGGATGTAGGTGAGTGGGGAGGTTAGCGTTCAGGGCTCTTGGGTGGGATGAGGGGATGTGGTGGGTTAGGAGTAGATGGGAGTGGAAGTGGCCGATGAAGTGCAACCCCGCGTACAAGGGCAAGTGGACGGCTCCGCTGATTGACAACCCCGCGTACAAGGGCAATTGGACGGCTCCGCTGATTGACAATCCCGCGTACAAGGGCAAGTGGAAGGCTTGGGACATCCCGAATCCGGACTACTTCCATCTGGATCGGCCGGACCTGGAGAGCGTCGCTGCTGTGGAAATTGAGATCTGGACCATGTCGTGAGTGCCTGGGCGCGGGGATGTGCTGGGGGGGATGGAGATAGGTGTGTGAGAGGGGCTCAGGGTTCGGGGTTTCTGGGTAGGACGAGAGGTGGTTGGTGGACGAGCAGCTGGGAGTGGGACATAAGAAACAGGGCGTAGTGTAGAAAGGGCAATGCACACAAGTGCATTGGCTGCAAGCGAAAGGACATGAAAGAACGAGGTCATGTCATTGCACAAGACGAGAGTGTTGCTGGGAAGGGTGCAAACATAGCAGTTGTCTATCTGGAGAATCCTCCCCCACCTCCTTTCCTCCCGTGTCCATGAGGTGACTTTTGAGTCGACTCAAAAGGGTGCAAGTTTTCCATCTGTAGATGCTCCCCCCACCTCCTTTCCTCCTCTGTCCATCACGGGGAGATTGCTTTCTAGTTCGACAAGAGACGCGTTTGCACTTGGGTCCAACTCTTGTAGCATACGGAGACAGTTTCGACCTGGATCCAACAGGTAACTCGTCCCCAAACCCGCCCATCCAACCATCCACGTCCACCTATCCACCCACCTACCCACCCATCCACTGAGGACGGTCTAGGGGTTGCAGCGCACGGTGGAGGAGCGGGACAGGACGGCCGAGGGTCTCGAAGGGCTGCAGCACACGGTGGAGGAGCAGGAGCAGTTGCAGCCCCTCGATCCCCCCGAACGTCCTGTCCCGCTCCTTCACCGCGCTCTGCAGCCCCTCGACCGTCCTCTACCGCCATCCACTCACCCTCCCGCCCATCCACCCATCCACCCAACCCCACCCATTCACCCACCCATCCATATCCACCCATTTAACCATCACCACCCATCTGCCCACCCACCTGCCGATCCACCCATCCACGTTTATGCAACCCCACCCATGCTTACCCATCCCTCCCCCCATCCAACCACACCAGGACGGCATTCTCTTTGACAACATCCTCGTTACAAGCGACCCCGCTGTAGCAGAGAAGTACCGGAGGGAGCGATGGGCGACCAAGTTCGCCAAGGAGAAGGAGGCGGAGCAGAAGAAGCGCGAGGAGGAGGATGCTAAGCTCAAGAAGGAGTCCGCTGGCAAGGGCGGATGGGAGGTGAGTTGGAGACGGGTTGTATTTGGCCGGGGGATAGATGTGCTATGGGTGGGGATTGTATGGGAAGAGCAGGCGAATTGCAAGAGGAGGACGCTAAGCTCAGGAAGGAGTCTGCTGGCAAGGGCGGATGGGAGGTGAGTGCGTGGTTTGAGACCAGCTGAGGGATGGGAAAGGCGGGTGGGAGGCGGGTGTGTCCTGTGAGGCTGGCGGGATGTGAGGCTGGCGGGATGTGAGTGAGACCAACCAGGGTCTCGTGGTCAATGGCAGAGCAAGCTGTTGGCAATTCTCCACGAGGAGGTACCTCAAATCCCCCTCTTCACCACTGCATCCCTCTGAACCGCACTGCAACATCCTCACCTCCACTGCAACCCTCTCAACCCCACTGCAACCCCCTGTGTCTTCCCCACAACAGGGCAAGCTGTTTGAGACGCTCCACAAGATTGCAGACGCGCCTCCTCTCAAGCCTGTTCGCCCCCAGCTCAAGGTGCGCTGCTTGCTACCCCCTCCCCCCCTGCTCCATCACTTCCTCTTCCAACCCCTCTCCAACCCTCTCCACCCCTTTCTCTCTCTCCCGTCGTTCACTCTCCCTCTCTCTTACCCTTCACCCTCCCCCTCTCCCCCCCATCACCCTCTCTCGCTCCCGCCCCTTCACCCTCCCTCTTCCCCACTTCTTCACCCTCCCTCTCGCTCATCCCGTCACCCCCCCCTCTCTCCTCTCGCTGTCTCATTTCTGTTGTTTCCTGTTCCCAAAAACGCACCTCCTTTTTCTTCCCACTTTCCCCCCTCTTGTCTCCTCGCTCCCCAGGCCATCCTAGCAGAGGCAGCCAAGTACCCGTACGCAGCAGTGGGCGTCATCATCCTCATCCCACTCGTGCCCTTCCTGCTGCTCGTCTCTGTGCTGCTCTCCTCACCTAAGCGGCCGGCAGGGCAGGTGAGCACAGAACTAGAGGGCTATGGGAGGAAGTGGGACACAGGTGTTGAGGGTTGGGGTATGGGAGGAGACGAGAGGTCGGACACAGGTGTCGGGTGTTGGGGGCATGGGAGGAGCAGGGCTTGTGTTGCGTATGAGGTGAAGTGAGCTCAGGGCTAGCACATGGGTCGAGGGTGAGCGGTTTTTGAGGCACCCCAGAAATCGCTCAGGACTTGCGCATGGGTGCAGGTGAGCGAGCGCATGGGTTGTGTTGTGTCATGTCAGTGTGTGAGCCAAAGGGCAGTCCAGGGAGCCAGGCTGCTGAGTCATGACGATGCCATTCTCATGGTGTCAGAGGTTGAGCATCCTAAGGTGTCCCTTGTCTCTGCTTGTTTTCCTGGTTGTCTCTTCCTTGTTACCTGCTGTGCTTGTTCCGAGTAGGTCTCAGTAGAGAGGGCCAAGAAGGAGGACATTACCACACCTGATGATGCTCCAGAGGAGAGCAAAGAGGAGCCAAAGGAGGTGGCCAAGGACGAGGCTGAGGCTGTTGCAGCAGATCAGCCAAACGAGGGCACCACTGAGCCTGCTAAAGCAGAGGAGCCCGCCGAGCCTGCAGCTTCGGAACCCCAGCCTGCGGGTGTGGAGGAAGAGGCGAAGGAGGGGGGTGAGACCAAGGTGAGGCGGCGCACACGCAGGGATTGAAACAGGTGAGGGAATGAAGCAAGTGGCTTGGAGAGAGCTGGACCTTACCTGCAGTGATTTTTTTAGTTGACTAAGATATATTTCACAGCGAGCAGGAGGCACTCGTGTAGTGTGTAGGGATTTACCTACTGGATGAAGCGGCTGAGGGGTGGCTGGACTGGTACCTACACTAGAGTGCTGCAATTCCAGTCTATGTTGCATATGACATTATATGGAAACTCTGACATCATTTTTAGGCCATTAGACTGTTGGTTGATGGTGTTTTTGTAGAACTGTTATGGTAAGGTTGGCAGCAGAACAAGTACTCATGGTTTAGCCAATTCTAGGGTACTTCAGTGCGTTTTTGGCTGGTGTCTAGCTTTGGGCCGAGCTGGTTGACACGAGGTGAAATTGACGGGCATGAGAAATATTTTCAACATGTGTCAGACGTTTCCTGGAGGGGTCTGACACCAGGCAGGCAAACTTGACCTGAAGCTAGACTCCAGCCAAGGATGTACCCACACATACAAATCAGAAAGCGGCAGATTACTAGGCTCAGGAGGGTCAGGCCGTCTGTCCAATCAAACGCATGCGTGAGAAATCTTGAATCAGTAAATTCCAGCACCCAAACAACTCAGTCGACAGGAACAGTACAAGTACCGGTATCTTGCGAGTTTTTGAAAAAAACCATCAATTTGTGGGTTTTTGGATCGATAAGCACCGGTTGATAAGAGGCTGTCCAGTCAGTCCATGGGCACGGCAGGGTCGGGCTGGCCTATCTTGTTGGGTCGCACTATGACCACCGGCATGGGGCAGTGGTGCGCACAGTACTCACTCACACTGCCCAGCACCAGCCTGCAGGTTCGATGGAGGGAGGGAGGGAGTTGGCGCATGGGAAGAGAGGTGGTTTGAGGTGGGAGGTACAAGAGGGGAGAGGGGGGTTAGCAAGTTGAGCAGCATACGGCATGGGGCAGTGGTGCGGACAGCACTCACTCACACTTCCCATCACCCGCCTGCCTGCAGGTTGGGTGGAGGGAGTTAAGGGGAAAATGGGGAGTGGAGAGCGGTGTGCATGGGTAGAGAAGCACACAGCACGAGGCAGAGTGGTGGTGCGCGCGCACAGCACTCACTCACACTGTGCACCGAGCGATGCCTGCTGCTGCTGCATGTGTTGGAGTGAGCATAGCCATCCTAAACGGCAGACGTGTTTTGAGTCGACTCAAAACCCAAGCAATGCCTGCTGCTGCATGCGTGTGAGTGAGTACAGCCATTCTAAACGGCAGACGTGTTTTGAGTCGACTCAAAACCCAAGCAATGCCTGCTGCTGCATGCGTGTGAGTGAGTACAGCCATTCTAAACGGCAGACGTGTTTTGAGTCGACTCAAAACCCAAGCAATGCCTGCTGCTGCATGCGTGTGAGTGAGCACAGCCATTCTAAACGGCAGACGTGTTTTGAGTCGACTCAAAATCCAAGCAATGCCTGCTGCTGCATGCGTGTGAGTGAGTACAGCCATTCTAAACGGCAAACTCTGCGAGATTGCCATGCCAGCTCCAACGCACCCCTTGAGAGCCCCATGCTCCCCCACGCACCCAGTCACCATGCCCCCTTCAAAACACCTCTTTAGAGAGCCATGCCCCCTTCAACCCGCCTCTTTAGAGAGCCATGCCCACTGCTCCCCTCCACCACCGCATCTGCCTTGGCCTGCTCCGCTGCTTGTCAAGCACACACATCTTTACCACACCTGTCCTGCCCCCCTGTATGCACCTCTTAAGCGCGCCCTGCCCACAGCTCCCCACCACCACGGCGCCCGCCTTGGCCTGCTCCGCTGTCTGTAAAGCACACACAACTTGAGAATACCTGTCCCCAAAATGCTCGCACCTCTTTAGAGAGCCATGCCCATGGCTCCCCACCACCACCGCGTCTGCCTTGGCCTGCTCCGCTGCCTGTAAAGCGCGCACACCTTTAGCACACCTGTCCTGTCCTGTCCTGTCCTCAAGTGCACACCTCTTCAGCGCACCGCGCCCCCTGTTCCCCACAGCGCCCACCTTTTGAGAGCGCCGTGTCCCCTGCTCCCCAGAGCCACTGCATCTGCCTTGGCCTGCTACGCTGCCGGTCAAGCACACACGACTTGAGAATACCTGTCCCCACAGTGCCCTCACCTCTTAAGAGCCCCATGCCCACGGCTCCCCACCACCACGGCATCCGCCTTGGCCTGCTCCGCTGCCTCGGATATCGACAGCCTGGCATCGCCGATCATGACACGCGTCTCGCACAGCAGCTGCCACGTCAGCACAGAAGAGGAGGCAGGGGTTGGGGGAGAATGCATTGAAAAAAGAGGGAGCAGAAGGGCGGAGCATGCATCCGTGTGCTCATCATTTACAAATTACATCAGCAGCTCACTGCTCCCTCCCAGTAAACCTCTTGAGTCGACTCAAAAGTCATTTTGAGTCGACTCAAGAGCTAAGCATGCATCCTGAGCATGCATCCGAGTGCTGATCATTTACAAATTACACCAGCAGCTCACTATTCGCTCCCTACACACCTCTCCTTACCTTGCACGTTGACTTTTGAGTTGACTCAAAAGTCAACTCCCAGCAAACCTCTCCTCACATGGCGCGCCTCGCACTGCGCCTTGTACTTCTCCAGCAGCTTGTTGTATCCGGCTTCCTCACGCCCTTACCTCGCGCCCTCACGCATAGCCACTCCTCACATGGGTGTTATCTTTCCCTCACCTGCCGCGCCTCGCACTGCGCCTTGTACTTCTCCAGCAGCTTGTACCCGACGTCCTTCTTCCTCTGCGTGTCCGCCTGGATCTCCCCCTGGGACACGTGGAAGCCTGTGATTGGTGTGGGGAAAAAAGGGGGAACGGGCAGCAAGGTGGGAAAGAGAAGAAGGGCTCAGCTGTCAGGCAGAGAAACAAGGGAAGGGAGAGATTGTGGGAAGGGAGGAGAGTGAAGTATTGTCTTACCTGGCCGGGAAGTATTGTCTTACCTGGCCGGGAAGTATTGTCTTACCTGGCCGGGAAGTATTGTCTTACCTGGCCGGGAAGTAGGGGCTGCTGAGTAGGATTGGGTGTTGACGAGAACGATGGTGTCGCGACCTGCACAAGGGGGAGGGCGGGCGGCAGCAGCAGAGGAGGAAAATTGTTTTCAGCTGCTAATGAAGGGGGAAGTGGAGTAGGAGTGAGTGTTGATGTTGACGAGAATGATGGTGTCGCGAGGGCGGGGATGGATGCAGCGAGGAGGAACGAACAGACATGAGGGCAGGTGGAAACAGGAAGGATGGATGGAGTGGAGGGTAAGAGCGACTTTTGAGGCGCCTCAAAAGTCAGCGAGGAGGAGCGAACAGACATGAGGGCAGGTGGAAGCAGGAAGGATGGGTGGAGTGGAGGGTAGGAGCGAAATGAGGACGCTCGGACGGTGGAGGGGGAGGAAACAGAACAGAGCGACCTTGAAACGCAGAGAGAACGGAATGACAGCATCTGACGCCCACGCGTTTGAACCCCACATTCCCCTGACCTGCGTTCCCCTGACCAGCATTCGCCCAACACCCATTCGCCTGACACCCACCCGCCTGACCCTCACCCCCCTGGCACGAACCAGGTTGCAGCTGCATGTTATCGAGTGCCCATTGGAGCGCCTCGGTGCTGCCCGTCGAGTCGTCGATCGCAACCACGATGCGCCGCGGCGGCGTTCCTGTCGCCGACATGTCTTAAACTACGCGGTCTTCCTGACACCCCCTTAGAGGCTAAATGCGCGGCCTTCTTATGACTGTTTGCTTCTCTCTAATGCCTACTAATGTTCAGGTTAGAGGACAATGGTCAAGCACTCACACGATGCGTACGCGCACGGAATGAAAAGAAAAGGCGTTGGTCAACAAAGTAGGTGAATGAGGTAGTTAGTTGCGAAGTAGTAACACTAACAGCTGTTCAGAATAATGCGTTGGCAATGAGCGATAAGATAAAAACTAGGTCTGATGGTTGCTCGAATAGAGAGCAGGGCAGTGCAACCACTGCTACGCGGGAACCCAACAACGCTGATGGGAAGCAGTTGAGGGGGTGTCCAGCTCGTACATTTACTGTTCGTAAGCCCGACCAGTTACCACATTTTTTGTTGTAACACTGTATTGAACGTGTCCTGCGGACACAATCAGCTTTCGTTCACAAAACGGCACGCCCCCTGCACGTACCTCATGTCGTCTGACTCACGTTACTGGAATCAGCGGGGACACGAACAAGGGTACAGCACCGCGTCCTGGCCACTACAGTAGCGCCCCCTGTATCGCTTGCACAATTTCGCCAGTAGCTCGCTACACTCGTCAACACACCCCCCGCCTGCCCAAAAATTCGTTAGCTATGATTGACGACGGAAACAGTTACCTCGTTTTGAACGCGATCAGAGCACTGTTGATTCGTGTGGCGGAGAACGTGTCCGCGCTCCTGAAATTACAGGTAGGTGGGACTCAACTCACAATGCATTCGTTTTTAGGTACAGTGAATATTTTTGAACCTCGAGACGTGTGTTGGCACTAAAAACCCCGAAATGAACGAACTGGTTCCCTGAGCAATGAGAGACGAAAGCAGGACGTGTACGGAGGGGACGGTTCTCTCCTGAAAGAGAGAACCTGACGTGTGTTCTCGGGGTTGAGAAAACCTTGAAATTGTTAGTTGCAGTTTTGGGACATTTCTCGAACCAGCTGGCTCAAGAAGAGATGATCTGTCCATCGGAGGAACACGCCCCCTTCACAAGCCGGGCCTGGAAAAAACGGCCTGGCCCATACAGGTCTCGAACCTGTGACCTTCGCGTTATTAGCACGACGCTCTAACCAGCTGAGCTAATGGGCCGACGTGTAAGTGAGCAAAAAAATATATTTATATAAAGTAATCTTCCCAATTCAAACATATGAATTTGCGCGGCAACCTTTGAATCCCAATCGCCAGCACTGACGCTGGTTCTGCCTTGCAATTACAAACCGAAGGCGACGTGGAGCCTTCACTTCCTCGAGTCACTTCAGTCATCGTTCCCTCCTCTCGTTCTTTATATTCCAACTCGTCGCCTTTCCATTCCCTCGTCTTTCCACACTCGTTTCGTAATTCTCAAACGCTTGCCTTGAGGAGGCTGCCTGGCTCGCTGTCGACTCGCCATTCAGACCCGCGATGATCGCTTCTACCACGACTTATCAGAGCGTGTAATTCCGATCGACGTACAGAGTTCTCTGTTGATTCAGCCAAGTCCTTTCTCCGACAACCCTTTTCCCACTCTCACGATCGCCATTCATCCCATCAATCGGAATCGAAGCAGGATCTTCGAGTCCTAGAAAAGACAAGCCTTTCGAAAAGTCCCGTGCACAGAGTCCTTTTTTGAAGAAAAGAAAAAAGTTTAGCTAGGAGAACTTTTAGGGCCTGAGAGCGGGCAGAATGGCGCGGGAGGAGGAGGAGTATCCAGACGAGGGGGAGGAGCGGGTGATAAACGAGGAGTATAAGATCTGGAAGAAGAACACGCCTTTCCTCTACGACCTCGTCATCACGCACGCGCTAGAATGGCCGTCGCTCACCGTGCAATGGATGCCAGGTGCGATGCCACGTGTGATGGTGTCTCGGCCAGATAATGCCACGTGTTCCGCCTCCATTCGCGCTCGATTGATCGTCTCTCATTGTGCACTGGATGCCACGTGTGTCCCCCAGATGATACCACGTGCGTTGACGTCCGGTCTTGTTCGGCCTCCGTTCTCCCGCGGGCTCCCCTCTCCGCCATTCCCCACCGCCCCCTTCCGATCTCTCAGCAACGCGCTGCAAACTACGGGACATGACATGACTTGAAACAGTCTCTTCCCGCGTTTCCGTACTACCCCATTCCCCTCGCTCCCCTTGCAGAGCGGCAGGAGCCAGCGGGAAAGGATTACTCTGTGCAACGGATGGTGCTGGGTACGCACACGTCGGACAACGAGCAGAACTACCTCATGCTCGTGGACGTGCAACTGCCCCTGGACGACACCGAGACGGAAGCCCGGCAGTACGACGAGCAGCGGAGTGACGTCGGGGGATTCGGTGCTGGGTGCGCCAAGGTGGGAAGGGGGGGAAGGGGATATAGTGGAAGAGGGGGGGTGTGGGGGAGGGGCGGACGTGCAACTGCCTCTGGACGACTCGGAGACGGACGCGCGGCAGTACGATCAGCAGCGCAGCGACGTGGGCGGGCTCGGTGCTGGATGCGCCAAGGTAGGTAGGGGATGGGAGGGAGAAGGATGCAAGGTAGGGAGGGGATGGGAGGGAGAAGGTTGGGGGTAGGGGGGTGGGGCGAAGTGGGGATGGGGGCGAAGTGGGGATGGGGGCGAAGTGGGGATGGGGGCGAAGTGGGGATGCGGGAGGGGTACTAAGATGGAAGATTCAGCAACGGTTGCGCTAAAGTGGTCTCTCTTTGCTAACCATTCACACCATTGCGCTAAAGTGGTCTCTCTTTGCTAACCATTCACACCATTGCGCTAAAGTGGTCTCTCTTTGCTAACCATTCACACCATTGCGCTAAAGTGGTCTCTCTTTGCTAACCATTCACACCATTGCGCTAAAGTGGTCTCTCTTTGCTAACCATTCACACCATCCCCCACCCGTCCCCTCTCCTCCTCCCGCCTTCACGCGCTCACTCTCTCAGGTGCAAGTGGTGCAACAAATCAACCACGAGGGTGAGGTGAACAGAGCGCGCTACATGCCGCAGAACCCCTTCCTCATCGCCACCAAGACCGTCTCTGCCGAGGTGAGCACTCTTTGGCTGGTTCCGAGCCTCCTTAAAACCGGTACAGCGGTGTAGTATTGGCCTACCCAGGGAGCGCTATTGAGAATTCTCAAAAGGGAGCGCTACATGCCTCATAACCCCTTCCTCATCGCCACCAATCCGTCTCTGCCGAGGTGTGCTCCCTCTTGCTTGTTTCGAGCATCCTTAAAACGGATACAGCTGTGTAATAACGGCTTTTTTATGGGGCGCTACATGCCAGAGAACCCCTTCCCCATCACCACCAAGACCGTCTCTGCTGAGGTGAGATGGCATTATTAAGGCCCATTGTGCTCCCAGTGTGCCCATACCCCCCTGCCATACGTGTTCGTTCTAGTTAGATTACCCTTGTTCCGCCTCCCCTGCACCGCCTCCTCTGCTGCCTTCCCTCCCTCCCCTGCCCCCGGCCCACAGGAGGGCACGTGCAATCCGGATCTGCGCCTGAGGAATCACAAGCCGGAGGGGTACAGGCTGTCCTGGAGCCCCTTCCGCGCCCTCTTCCCACCCCCTGCTACCTTCCCTCCGCCTGCCCCCGGTCCACATCCACAGGTATTTGTATTCGACTACAGCAGACACCCGTCCAAGCCCCCTCAAGAGGGCACATGCAACCCTGTTCGATTCATCCCCCACACCCCACCCCACAGGTATTTGTATTCGACTACAGCAGACACCCGTCCAAGCCCCCTCAAGAGGGCACATGCAACCCTGTTCGACTCATCCCCCACACCCCACCCCACAGGTATTTGTATTCGACTACAGCAGACACCCCTCAAAGCCCCCTCAAGAGGGCACGTGTAACCCCGACCTGCGCCAGAGGGGCCACAAGACAGACGGGTACGGGCTGTCCTGGAGCCCCTTTTGCGCCACAGGTGCAAATTTTCAGCGCATATTTCCTCCTCCGCTTCCCCTGTTCGACTCATCCCCCACACCCCACCCCACAGGTATTTGTATTCGACTACAGCAGACACCCCTCCAAGCCTCCCCTAGAGGGAACATGCAACCTCGACCTGCGCCTGAGAGGCCACAAGACGGAGGGGTAGGGGCCGTCCTGGAGTCCCTTCCGCGCCCACCTACCCACCCTCTGCTCTCTTGCTCCGCCTCCCCTCCCCTGCCCCCGGCCCACAGGTATTCGTGTTCGATTACAGCCGGCACCCATCAAAACCCCCGCAGGAGGGCACATGTAACCCGGACCTGCGCCTGAGGGGCCACAAGACGGAGGGGTACGGGCTGTCCTGGAGCCCCTTCCGCGCTGGGCACCTGCTGAGCGGGTCAGACGACATGCAGATCTGCGTGTGGGACATCGGCGCGGCCACTAAGGCGAACAAAGTGGTGGAGGCGAAACACGTGTTTCGGGTGGGTTGGGAGGGGTGGGGAGGGGTTGTGAGGGGGCCACCTGCTGAGCGGATCAGATGTCATGCTGATCGGGCTGCTATTAAAGCCAACATAAGTGGATGCTCTGCTGCTGCTGCTCTGGCACCTGCGCTCCCCCTCCCTCCCCACCCACGCACTCTTGTCAAGCCCCACGCACACACAGACGAGATTCGCACAGTCTGAAAGCCCGTTCTTCCCCGCATCCCACCCCTGCTCTCCATCCACATTCCCTCTCTCTCCCGCTGCTCAACCAACCCAGGCACACACGGGGGTGGTGGAGGACGTGGCGTGGCACTGCCGGCACGAGTACCTGTTTGGGTCCGTGGGGGACGACCAGCAGCTGCTGCTCTGGGACCTGCGCTCCCCCTCCCCATCTACGTGCTCTCACCAACCCACGAGCACACACAGACGTGATTTTAGCCGTCTCAAAAGCTCAGTTGCCCGCGCCCTCAACCCCCACACCCTCTTCTTGCACAACTCCCCCTCTCCCCCCCCCTCCCCACCCACAACTCCCCCTCTCCCCCCCCTTCCCCACCCACAACTCCCCCTCTCCCCCCTCCTCCCAGGCACACACGG